CCCCCCCCCCCCCCCCCCCCCCTTGGTCGAGATGCTAGGCAATTACAGGGTTAACCTCAGCATTAAATTCGCTGGTACTCATTTATACAACTGTGTGGAGAGAGGTACTGTAAGGGCAAATTGTCTTGCCTAAGAACACAACATAATGTCCCCGGCCAGGACTCGAACCCAAACCGCTCGATCCGAAATTCGAAAGGAGCGCACATGAGACCATAGCGCCTCCACATGAACTAAAAAGCGGCATGTTTAATCTGTATTGAGTAAACTTAAATAAATTCTACCCTCCCATATTTTATATCACAGACTTCTCTCAATTTTTGTTTTGTTTTGTTTTGTTTTTTTTCCGTTGCTGGTTAGTAGGGTTGCCTTTCCAATGTACCTTTCACCTCTATTTTCTTCTGTCGCTATCCATATATACCAACGACAGCAAACAATATTTCACGTTTTACTTTAAGGCGTATTTTAAGTAATTTTTGTACATACCTCCAACAACTAAACCTACATGGGGGAAAGAGATTTGAAATAATTAGTGATATGTCAAGCACTGATTATTAGAAAGTAGAGAGCGCTGTTCTTTAAAGTGAACGTTTTAATCTCGGGTCTCAAAGGTGTCTTTTGTTGTTTGAGGACAAATTGCACATGCTCGAGTTATTCATTCCTAGTGGTATCAAGAAATACGGCAAAAACAAAAGAGAACTGCTAAACCATGATATCAACAACAGGCTAAGAGGCAAGGACAACCTAAACTAGTGTGAAACTACATATTTTACCAACATTACAAATAGCTTAAATTTACGTTGGTCACATTTTAGCCTTTTATCCACAAAACTTTAACTGTTAACTTAGAATAATCAGCTGTGCAAAGTTTGACTCTGATTCAGGAGTAGTCTTCTTTTGTTAGCTTTCTATATCTAAGACCTCGTAAGGTCTTGATTAAAATTAGGTTACGTTTCTCGCGAGGATTCAAGATATTGTTCCTGGTAAAGTTTCTTAATGCAAACTTCATTTTTCTAGCTTTTTGTTTCAAACGACCAATATGCCTTCGACAGCTGTCAGTCATGCCTGTCAATGTCAATCAATTTGAAAAAGGACCGAAATAGATATTATAAACGTGTATTTTTAGACACCCTGTTCTTAAGCTAGTTTTTTTGTTTTATTCGTAGTCTATACTAAAAGGCCTGTGAAACTGAAAAATCTAATAGATGGCATTAACAAATACCGTAATAAATTGTTACAAACTCCACTGGTATTTGTCAGGCTGGGTATCTGAAGAGGGCTGCCATCTCCACTTTCCGATTCACTCAGCTTTCAATTATCTCTCTTTAAAAGCTTGTTTTGGTAATTTTATTTAATCTTTTAAATTCTATCCTTCTATTATAGTTCTTGTCCAAATAATAACTTATGGGGTAGCCGCTTTCACAAAATTTAACCATTTTTATTTATAATTTTCCTAGTTAAACTCCCATGCAGAGTTCAATTAATTTTACGCCGACTGATGTTTATCCAAATATAACTATGTCATCCAGAAAACGAAGAATCGAAACGAATATCATAACGTCTCGGAAAAAGAATTTAAAAAATTATGAATAATGTGAAATAATTGGCTGTTAACTTGCATGCACCGGAGCAAAAATGCTGCTTAACAATAAAATGAAATGAACCAAGTAATCTTCGCCAGAATTTCTTCAGGGAAGAGCGAGTATGTAGCGATTTTTATTATCAAACGAAGCGCCATGAAGGTTTTAAATGGAAGAAGGCAAAAGATTTAACCGCCTTAGCTTTTAGTGGCATACCGAAGAAAGGCATCAAAATGCCATGTGATGTTATACAAACCTGTCCTTAAATTGACAAGGTCTGAACCTTTTGAGCTAGTATCAGGGACCTTTATATGGCCACATCCACATTACACCGGCCGAGGAATTGGAGGTTTCACTCTGAAAACGCATCAAATGATTTTCCGTCCACACTATGCCAAGGGAATATAAAACCGCAACAAATGGCGGGCAGGGAAATTACATGATTATCGTCATGCCACGAAAAGTTCCCATTTCAAAATGTTCCCTTCCGTACGAAAACAAAACGTCGGGGTTTTCAAATTCCTCCGGTTTGAAAAGCGTTTTCCAAAAGCTCCGTTTTCGTGACAGATTAGCCGGTGTGGACGTTAGGCCTTGCCGTGGAAATGAAGCTGCGTTATTTTCCCTTGGTTTTGGCTAGCCTATAGTACAAACTATCCAAAGTCTTTTGTGCTGGCACACATACAAAATTCAAGTAGGTGTTGATATTTTCAAGATTGTCGCCGATTGTTCTTAATTCATTCTGTTTTCAACTGATACAGGCGATTTCATAGAACACTAAAACGTGAGCAATCAGTTTCGTGTGATAATTTATATTTCCTAGGTCACAGTGAATTTGTTACTGTTGACAGTTAAAGTTGTCACACGCTAATATCAAATTAAAACGTAGATAAAACCAACTCACCAACTCCGAGGAACAATTTCAACAAGAGTGCAATTTTGACTCCGGCGTCCATCTTGAGGTATTTTCACGACACGGCTGCACGCCCCAAGTAAAATTACAATGTTTTAGTTTACACGGTAGTGCTGCTACGTGGATCCAACAACGGACAAGAACCAATCACATTTTAGGAAGGAGTCATGACTACACAAATTTTGCTTAATTTGGCCAAACAGTGACGAGAAAATAACAATAACATTTTCGCTTCCTAGGGGTAGAGAGCTTCAAGTTAAGCTGGCTTGCATGTGACCTTGGTTACCAAAGTTTTACAGTAAGAAGTTCCGCCCGTTTTAATTTCGTTTATTTGAGTATTTGTTCAATTAACAGCAGTTTGTTTTGAGACCAACGCTGAGCTCGAAATACTACTAATATCCATACAAAATGTACTCTATAGAGACATTTATGGCTAGCAAGCATTTCAGGGAAATATGAGCAAGAATTTTCGACAAAAGAGGTTTCATGTAAAGAAAAAATTTCGGAAAAAGTCCTGGAGTTTTCGTCTCAGGACACGATTTCATTCACACACACACACACGCACAGACACAGACACACATACAGAGAACGAAAAAGAAAAAAATGAATGTGCACACACAAAAAATGAAAAATTAAAGTACATCCATGTACCAGTCAGTTTGGAGATTCAACTCATACCATATAAACCTCAAAACCTCAAAACCTCACTCCGACCATATAATTAAATTTTTGTCACAAGTGCGGTAGTAGTTACATCCTACTATTTTAATTTGAACTTACTAGGAGAGATATTAGAAGTTTCCAAGAGACCGCTTATCATACCAGAAAGATTTACATCCTGTGCTTTTCTTTGTTTGAAAGTTTCCTGATGCTAATTTTCGTTAAACGCTCGTTTGCAAGCTGACGCTTAAAGTACAATGTAATTCAAAAATTCCAACGTGTAAATGTACAGTGTTAGTAGTTCTAAAAACGCTTTATCCATTTTATGAGCTAACTTTAATTACAAGAGGTCACCTTCTACCTCTCTCCTTTTTCTCTAATAAGTTATCATCCTATCTTCACTGGGTCATTTGCGATAATTAATTATCCTGCAAATTTCCGACGTTCGCTGTAGTATTTTAAATTCTTGCGATATTTTTACCAGCATCTCTCCGGACTTCAGTTAACTTCGAGCTTGGTAAATAACTATGTAATGTGACATTGTTTACAGGTAGCTTTAAAAAGAACCTTTCGGCTTCTGAATAAACCTTGCACTGAAATGGATTGATAACGACAAATTATTCGGTTTGTTCACTGTCCCCTTCTGGGTCAAATAAAAGCTGTTCTGTCAGTCGATGCCGGGTTAATTAGTTTGGTTATCAACTGGGGGGGAATAGGGATGGCGCAGTGGTGAGAGCGCTCGCCTCCCACCAATGTGGCCCGGGTACGATTTCGACCCGGTGCCATGATATGGAGGTTGAGTTTGTTGTTGGGTCTCGCCTTGCTCCGAGACTTTTTCTCTGGGTTCTCGGCCGGTTTTCCTTTCTCCACGAAAACCGACATCTCCAAACTCCAATTCGGCCCGCATGAAAACCAGCTAAGGCTG